CCAACCCGGGGGGTGGCGACCCCGTAGCCGGTCCCGGTCCGGTACGAGCGCGACACTGAGGGTTGCGATCCGTTGCCGGTCACGAAAAAAGACAAAAAGGAAAAAAAAAAAAAAAAAGAAGTTCAAGTATGGTGAGTCGTTCCCTTGTCACTTAAACTCTGAAGTGTAATGTGATCATGGTAGGCAATGAAAACGTGTATGTGAAGTCCCAGAGGCATAAGAATCCATGAGTGGAAACTGATAAAAGATTGGCAGGACTGTTTTCTAAGAAGGCGAAGAGCCAAAGGCTAATACACAAAGGATTTCTTCTTTTATACACACAGGAACTCTTCCCTGACTCCTGATCCTCCTGCTGGCCACGGGAGTCAAGTATTTATGTTCTAAATACCAAGCCCGCTCCTGGAACACCAGCTTGGTTCCATACAACAGGCAAAACTAAGGGGTGGGGGAAGAGGAAAGAAATGGACAAACAGTAATACATTAGAAAATGCAGAATCTAAGGAGGTGAAAGAGAAACATAATATTAATTCCATAGTATCACAAAACATAATACTTTGTTAATGTAAAGTTGTCATGTTTTGGGTGTGCAGTATATATGTTTTATTTCTTCAACCATTCTATGGAAAATTTAAAACGTACATGAAAGCAGAACAAATAGTATAATGAACTCTCATGTATCCATCTTCCCAATTCAAGAAATACTAACTCACAACCAATCTTATTTCACTTGTAACCTCACTGAATTCTCCCCAGCCACAGGTTATTTAGAAGCAAAGTCCACATAGAATATCTTTTAAAATATGCATGTAATATTTCTGTTTGCCCTCCTTCTCAATTCATGAAAATATACGCTAAGTGTACATCCTCAGTAATATCATCTTGATATTTTCCATTGAGCATGGTTTGATGAAACTTTCACAAAAATAGCATTCCTCATTTACATTTTGTTTCAATACATTTTTCCTGTTACGTTTCTGAAACCTACACACAGAGCTCCTGCGTGACCTCATGGGCGCCGAGCAACCATGAATGCCTTTTCCTGTAGGAAAGAAGTAGGTTTTTATTTCACTGTTATTCATTTAAATTTTAATATTCAGTAATGTCCAAATCACACAAAAGTAGAGAGCATAGCATAATGGACATTCATGTTTTCAGCACCAGCTTCAATCGTTATCAACTCATTGCTAATCTTGTTTTGTCTCTACTCCCACCCAGTCCCCCTTCCTGTATTATTGTGAAGCAAAGTCATATCATTTCATCCATAAACATCTAACTGTGTATCTCTAAAAGATGACTCTTTCAAAGTAAGATAGTCTCAAAGTCAAAACAAGCAGCAATTAAAAAAAAAACAACCCTCTTGTTCTGAGTCGGATGGAGATGATCTTCACTTCAGGAGACAAGGAGCCTTCTATGGATTATCAGACTCAGAAGTCATGTGGTTCACACCCATGCAGACAACGCAGCCTCTTCATTCTCTTCTGGAGCTTCTGGGACATCCTCGCAATAGGACCATTATAAGAGTCTCAGACTTCAGACTTCCCAGAAAGGGTCACAGTGTGGCTCAGCAGCTTATTTATGAAAGATATTTAAGATTTATTATAGCTTTTTTATGAACTTGCCAAAGTCTGGGCAGTAGTTGCTTGGCTAGTATAAGCTTTCTTTGGCTCTTTTATGTAGCAGCAGTAAAGATGTTAGCTGACCCTACAGTCATAGTAAAAGGAACTGAAAACTACTGCAATTCATACTGAAAACATAAATTCTTATAAAAACAATAAATCATGTATATTATGTGGCTAAACTGAATCATGAGTCTCTAACTGAACTTCATACACATTACAGAAATATTTGCTGTGTGTTCCTAGATACAGAAAGTTAATCCTCATCACTCCTGGGTATACAAAAATATAAGGTTAGTGATAAGAAGTTCAGAGCCATAGAAGTATGTGTGTTCTTAGAATCAATCTAGTTTATCTTCTCACTCAGTCTAAAATCCTGCATTGGCCAGGGTTTAACCAAGAAGCAGATGACACTTCCACGACAGGAATAACTCAGGAAGAGTTTAGTGATATTTTTTATAAAGGTGTGGGCAAGATGTAGGAGAATCATAAGGAATAACGCAGTCCCCGGGAGCTAGTAACTCTGGAGCTGTTACCACCTCTAGGTTTGCAGGGAGGAGGGCAGGGAGTGGCTACTAGATTCTGGACACTTTAGGAGGACCTGTGACCCTCAGCCACGGAACACAGAAATCCCGAGCTGGCCCACAGGGAGGCAAGCAGGGAGCAGAAATATTCTAACTTCACTCTCTTCCCCCTCTCCAATCTCTAGCTGTTATCTGAACCCAACTGGGTCCAGAAGGAAAGGATTCCATTGATGCAAGCTGTGTAGGTCATAACTTCCTAGGTCCACAACAGGGCAGAGAAGGGTGGAGAGTACAGCTGGAGAGGCTAGTGGAAGATGTCCATCACAAGTCCCATCTCTAACACCCCTGGCAGATGGCCATTCAGCGTCTGGTCCAGTGCTATCTGATTCATGCCAGAGCTCCCAACAAGCCTCTGACTGCCCGCATCATTGCCAGGCTTGGTTCCTGACTGCTGGCATTGCCCAGTCTCATGCAATACTTCAGGACTGTGTCTGCTCATCCCTTCTGTGGACTCCTGAACTGCCTTCTTTTGGACAGTCTATGGCTCTCGTGTGCTTGATTCTCAGGGCTACTTTTCTGGCTTTAAACTTTTGCTTTGCTCCATGAACACAGTTCAGACTTTCCTCTTTGCTTCTCCTGGCTCTTGGTAGCTACAACACCATGCCTAGGTACAGATACCATCAGCCCAGCCTCAGCCCCTCAAATGTGGACTGAAATGTCTTTCCTTTTGTGTTCCAGAGATGGGAGCTCAGTGCGTTGAGGCATCCAGTTCTCTAAGGAGTCTCACCACTGGAAGAACCACTGTATATCAAAGCACTTCTCCATGTAGAATATGAATTTATGGGTTAATTCTGTGAGAAAATGGCTCTTTTCCTGTTCATCTCTGTATGCCCAGGGACACAAAGGAGTAGACACACTGTAAGATATTGGCTGAACCCAATTTCCTGTAACTCATGGCTATCAATTCTGTAACCTCTGCTGCCTAAGGAACAAAGGCTTCCAGATAATAGCCCTACGAAAATTTAAAGATACTTTTCACATCCCCATGTTGTCTTTTCTTCTTCCAGATGATCCACCGTGACAGATTGCCATCTTCCTCTTACTGGTGTCAACTCTTGTGCCACCTTGGGCCCGGTGGCCTCTTCTAGATGCTTACTTCTCCTCTTCAGGTGCCTCACAGAACTAAAAACGGTGTCCGGATGTTGTCCCATCACAGCGGCATCCAGAGCACCATTGCTGTCCTGGTTTTGGACTGTATGCTTTTATGTGCAAAGTAAGATGGAATTTGCTTCTATAGCAGCCCCATAATATTTTTCCATAAATAAGAGAAAGAATATCATGTATATCTGGTTTATAGCAAACATTTGATCATGAGACAATTTTAACCAAGACTTGTCCCCCATGAGCTGTTTTCAAACAATCTATGCGTACGTATATACATTTCCAAGGGGATGATTTTAAATTCATTCTTGTAAAGTCATCTTGTTGGTATGGCCTACTCTGAATCCCCCCAAATTTCTATGAATCTTGGATTCAGTCACCTGATATTTCATGTCATTTACAAATTTGTCTTTATGTTTGTTTGTTTGTTATACATAATGTGGGGTACAACGTTGATTTTCAATAATTGTGTAGAATGTGTAGTGGTTAAATCAGTATATATACTTAGCTCATTCATCATTACAATACACAATCATTCTTTGTGTCCACTGATCAATTCCTCATTAGCCCCCCTCCCACTCCCCCTCCTCTCCCCTTTTCCATGTCTAGTTTTCTAAAAGTTCAATGTATTACTGTGATTTTTGTTTCTTTCTTTCTCTCTGTCTCTCTTTATTGTTCATTTGCTCATTTATGGATTCAGCTCCCAGTTATGAGTGAGAACATGCGTTATTTCTCTTTCCATACCTGGGTTGTTTCACTTAGAATAATTTTCTCCAGGCTCATCCATGTTGCTGCAAATGGTAGAATTTCATTTTTTTTTATGGTTGAGTAGTATTCAATTTTGTATATATACCACAATTTCCTTATCCAGTCACCCATTGATGGACATTTCAGTTAGTTCCAATGCCTGGCTATTGTAAATAGAGCTGCAATAAACATGGGAGTGCAGGTATCCCTTCAACCTGATGTTTTCCAATCCTCTGGATATATCCCCAGTAGTGGGATTGCTGGATCATATGGAAGTTCTATCTGTAATTGTTTAAGGAACCTCCGTACTGTTCTCCATAATGGCTGTACTAAATTTGTCAAGTTTCTTCTATGTCTTTATACTATAGAGCTCACCTTTTGATTCAAGTGTCTGAAAACCTCTCTAATGAAATGTCGTCTAGCTCATATTTCTCTAGCTTGTCCATAAGGATATCCTGAGAGTGTGGAAAGTCTTGGCCAAAATCAAGACACATTATCAGTTTCCCCAGAATTTCTCTTCTAGTAACTTGCTTAAGAAAGGAAGTAGGATTAGTGAAGTCAGGCTCAGCCTTGTGAGCACAGACAGGCTCCTAGCGGCTGTCTCTTTCTTTTCTCAGCATGCATAAACTATCTTGAGCAGCCTTTTGTAGAATTTTAACTTGGATTTAAATTAATCTCAGAACCTATAGTTTCCCAAATCTACCTTTTTTCCCCTGTTTTTTAAAATGTGGACATTTTCTCATTTATAATTTTCTGAGACCTCTTTTCTTCTCCTTGGTTTCAAATCTCCCTCAAGTACAAGTCCTTCCCAATTGAGAAGAATATTCCTTCAGAGAGAAGACAGGAAACTACAGGAGATGAGCAACTCTGCTTTCTTTTCACCGTCTATCAACATCCAAGCTTTCTTACCAAAACCAGGGGCCAGTCCCTTCAAATTTTTGAATGTAACTAAAAAATGGCCTTCACATTTTCATCAGATTGTTTGTCAAGCCTCGTGTTATATTGTGGTTTGGCCATCCTGACATTTATTAAATGCTACTCCTTGTGTTTATCCTTGGACAAGTGTCACCCCACCATCACCCCACTCATTGCTTATATAATCCTTCCTTAGACCCATCAAAGAGCCCCCTCTACTACTACTCTGAATTCTTTAAATGTGTCCCAAACTTTTTTCCTGTATGTACTGTCTTGTCAGAATGACATTACTGTTTTTCTTCTTCTCAAGTCCATATAACTCTTTGAAATCTCTGCCCATAGAATCGCAATAGCCGATATTTATTAAATACCTACTGTGTGTCACGCACTACAAGGTATTCTACATCTACCTCATTTAGTCCTCACAAAATTCTGAAAGGTAGATGTAGGCCTGTGCAGGAAAGGGTTCACT